ACTGAGTAAGACTTGTATCATCTTCGGTTTTCTTTTTCAGTATGAAACATGTTTATGAATACTATCTGTATATCATTAAGACAAGTTCGAATGACTTTTGATGTTCGTTTATTCAAGCATATGATACAGAATCGTAGCTATTGTTTTAAATTGTTAGAATAATTTCAATGTCAATTTCAGAACGTGATAACTGAAGATTCACTTCTTTTGCCAGAATCTTTTAACCTATGTAAATTCTTAAAACTAAAAATTGACTCATGACTATTTTTGGATAATAAAACTAGAATAAGTTCTGAAATTTTAAAAAAAACTGAACATCAAAAATGACTGATAGAAAAGCATGCATGAACTTCATTGTTCTAGTTCAATGCTCATTCTATTGGCACATTTGGTTAACTACTGTCTTTATTGGATATCTATGTTGGATGCATTAGAACGACAAGAAAAATGTTCTCATATGAATCGCATCGACGACAGGTTGCAATAAATCCAGTTCAAGTGACTATGTATTGCCCATGCGAAAGAATTTCTAAGATTACAATGTAGAAACTCGACAGTTATATCTATGTTTGACAATAAAATGAAAATAAAACCAATCGCTGACAATTCCACCCAAATAGATTGTATATGTCTATTTTATACTATTCATTTTCGATCTTAAATTTAATCGAGATAGAACAATGACGCTGCCAATGAGCATTTCTTTATTTTTTTAAATGATGATACCGCACGCGCTGATTAGTTGAAACTGTTTTTCAGTTCCATTCCTTGCCCTTAAATCTTGATTATGAAATATTTATTACCATATAGGAACATACTGATCATGCACTGAAGAAGAGAAATACGAGACTAATAGAATAATATTAGTTAGTAAATACCTAATAAAAATTTATGACAACGAACTAATAATTGTCATGGCCGTCAACAATATATTGCTTTTTGAAACTAATACTTTTTTGTAGCTTTTATAGGAACACACACGTTCAACTAATATTCTAATCATATTTATCTTAAAATTTGCTGTTTCCTCTATTTCAACCATGGCTTATAGATAAAGTAAAGAAATAAGGTGTTTTTCAATCCTCACTAAATCTGTGAATGATATAAAAATCATTCGCTATTGAATATTTAATGCCGCTGTTTAACATTAATATGAACACATGCTTAATAAAAAATTCCAGACACCCTATGAAGCGACGCTAAAAAATACACCAAAGCTTCAATTATTTTATCTAAACTACATAAATACACTTGAGCTTTCTTGTTCGTACACGGTTGAGAATATCCTGAGAAACAGGTTGTAGTATTCATCGAGAGCTGTTCGAATATTCTATACTCCATGTTTTTCTAATGTGATGCTCTAGAGCCAGAAATACGGGCCTGTTATGGGAAAATCTCAATTCGACCTTTTTCTGAAAAATTGAAATAAAATATTTTTCTATGTAACATAAAGTTAGTGTTATAGCCAATTATATTCTTTTTTGATCAATTTATTATTCATTTATTTCTGCTATCAAAGTATAAATCTAATGAAACTGTTTCAAGTTTCAAATAAACCGGTTGTAATCTGAATGTTTAGTTTTCCTATTAAATTAAGTGAATGTAGTAAGACGAGAACATAAAACTGTGTGTATCAATTGTTCTGATGATATTCTAACACGAGTATTAATGGCGATTGCAGAAAACTCATGAAGATTCGCGAAGAGCTCGTGAGATGCCTGCTTGTAAACTTCATCAATGTAGATAAAATAGTTTCAGATTTCAAAGAAAAATACTTCTGACTATTTGCCGATTTACATCGTATCATTCACATTTTCTCTTCCTACAGCAGATTATTAACTTATTCAATAGAGAAATAGTCTTGTGATTTTTTAAATAGTATTGGAAACTTTGTTTATGCGAAAACGAAACAATGGTATCAACAACTGATATGCTAGAACTATTGGTTGTTCTATTAGCTGTGACGAGAGTAATGGGTAAATATTCCAAAACATTTTTAACCTATTTATCAAATGTGATTTGATTGCTGAATATTTTTTGAAGTGTGTAACATGGCAAACAAGTTCGATGTCATAAAACGCCAGATATTTTATGTATCTAAAATTTATGAAGCGTGAATTCAACGTTCATAATTTATCAACATTTTTTATGAAGTTTGTTTTATTACTTATTTTGATAACGTAATATTATTTAGTTATGAAAGAGTATTTGTATTTCGTCTCCGCTTTCTAAAAGTTTACTCGATAAGGATGCACGACAGTTTAGTGTCATATATTTACTACATAGATGAAATGGTTCGTTTAGTTAGGTTTCTAAATGTTTAATCGATTTAGACCTTAGTCTTGCCCGTTCAACTGTATGTGCAGCAGATTACAATAATAGTAGAATAAATGTTGGCTATGATAAATGCACATGCCTAAATGACTGCATTCACTGCGTGTATGAAATGATTTTTTCGAAAAACTTACTTAGATTTAAAAAATTATTTTATATTTTTTCTTCCTATAGAATCTGTTGACAATGCTACTCACAAATTGGGAAGAGTTTTCTTAATTACATTTGGAAATGGTTTCAGCAACTATTCCAAGAAAACACCTTCTGATTTTAATTTCACTACAAATCATAGTCAGAAATATGCAGATTCCATCGGACTCGGCAATTTTGGTTTTGTCAATAAGATTGCTAAGGGTGGGCCTTCGTGGCATATTGGAGCATTGGATCACACAAAGGATGATGATGATGGGTACATGTTTCTTGTCAATGTGGGGAATAAGAATCATCAACCACTTTTTAACTACACAGTTGATAATCTTTCGAGTGATCAATGTTATGAATTTTCTGCTTATATCACAAATGTTGTCAAACATGGAGCAAAGCAGGCAAAACCAAATGTACGATTGGAAATTCGGGAAACGGACAAAAACGACACTTTGGTTGCTCAAACATCCACAGGCCATTTACCTGAATGTAGCAATATGAGTTGGTCAAAATATGGTATTTCATTCGTACCAACAAGTAGTTCAGTTGCGCTGTTAATGGTTTCAAACGTTCATGAATATAGAGGAAATAATCTTGCCATCGACGATATCGAACTACGTGTTTGTTCAGGTAACTGGTCTAGGCTTTTGTCAGCAAGGTTAGCTAATAGAGTTTGCTTGAACATAATATAAAAATATCTTTTGGCGATCAAATAATCAATTGTATAATTTCGTCTGACGCTATTTTGTTTAGAGAGCATTGAATGCTCTTTTCGTCGAATGATTCTTGGCATCCTTCCCCGAAGAAGTATTATCAAATGTGGATTTCGAGATCATTTGTCTACTATTAATATGTTGGTTAAAGCTTTGAAATGGTTGTTTAGTACAGAAGTGTAATGATAATGATGTAATGAAATGCGTATGTAAGTGAATTCAACTGTGGAATCTTGTGATTCCTTTTCAATATCTCTCTCATTAGAGACTTTATCTATCAAGAATTTACATACAGACGTCATGTTATTGAATGGGTATCTAATATAAATTGTATATCGTCCATTAATCTCAGCTATTCAGGTGATTTCAAGAATGAAAGAATATGTACTGAAGAAGATAGTTACAGACGCTTAAATGAATGCACTAATCCAATGCTTTAACTCATATTGCCTAATGTTTTCTGGATCTTTAACTTTTTTTTTTTGAATTTCTTTAGATTCTGTTGACCCATGCGTTGGACAGGATACTCAAGAATCCATATCAATGTTCTTGATTACATTTGGAAATGGTTCCAGTGACAATTCCAATAAAACACCTTCTGATTTTAATTTCATTACAAACCATACGCAGAAGTTTCAAAAGCCCACTGAACCCGGTCATTTTGGTTTGGTAAATAAAGTTCCCGGGGATGTCGGCACATGGCACACTGACGCATTGGATCATACAGCCAATGATAATGATGGATATATGTTTCTAGTCGATGTGGGGAATGAGAGTCATCAACCACTTTTCAGCTACAAAGTCGATAATCTTTTGAGTGGTCAATGTTATGAATTTTCCGCGTACTTTGCAAACGTTGTGAAACGGAGGGCGGGGGGGGGGTACGCTAAACCAGATGTTCGATTAGAAGTTCGAGCAGAGAAGGAAGATGGTAGTTTAATTGCGAACAGAAGTACAGGTGATATACCAGAATGTAACAATATGACTTGGTCCAAACATGGTATTTCATTCTCACCAATGAGTAGTTTAGTTGTATTATTGATGTTGTCAAACATTAACGAACATGAAGGAAATGATCTGGCTATTGATGATATCGAATTACGCCTTTGCTCAAGAAGCCATTCTGGTGTTTGCCCTCCAAGTTAGTAGATCTAGCATTATTTCAACATGATATGCCACTTTCTTTGAAGTTCAAGTGATGTAAATCATAGTTCTCTCGTAACTTACTTTCCTTATTCTAAGGCTAATTTTTATTAGGAAATTGAGTGCCTACTTTTTATAATAAGTACTTTGATCCTTTCTTAACAATAGATCGGGAAGTATGAATCTATTCACCATCTTCATCTACTATATTTTGCTAACTAAAAATGTCGACTTAATATTGTATATAGAAGTTTACGTATAGTAAGCTTGCCGTCTCAGTAGAAAGGATTTGTTAGATGTTGACAACATAAATATGCATAATAAACATGTAATAACACTCAACAGGAATACAGATATGTATAAAATATTTTTGAGCTATTCAAAATTATATTGATTTCATCTCTAAAATAGTCAAAAAAAAACTTCATATATGTTATTCTGTCACAAGAGACTCATTGGGGTTATTGATTAGGATTTTATTAACTATCATGATATCAGAGCACAATCTTCGTATCAATGAACAGTATGAAAACTCATTTCTAAGTTTTTCTCATCTCTGATCGGCAATTGTTAACTATCCCATCGTGAACCAGTAGGAACCATGATGAATACTTAAAAACACGAAAAATAATTATAAATTTTGAGCACATACCAAGAATATTCAGAATCATATAAATCTAATGGAATCAGTAAATTGTGATTGGAAGCCAGGGCTACATTTTTATTATTTGCTTCTGATTTTCTATGATTTACGGCGATATTCGTAATTTTACAATGGATCTTGGTATAGAAAACAGTTGCTTCGCTAGTGGACTCAATAAAGAGAGCTGTGTACACAATACCGAGATGATTAATATGAATAGATTTTTACTCCCATAGTCTGACTGAGAAAATTTTCCAGAATGAATGATTAAGAGTGCTATTTACTATAGCAACTTCAACAACAACTACCACGACTACAACAACAGCAGCAACAACAACAACAACTACTACTACTACTATGACGACGACGACGACGACGACAACTAAAACAACTAAAACAACCACTACAACTACAACAACTAAAACAACTACAACAACCACTACAACTACAACAACTACTACAACTACAACAACCACTACAACTACAACAACTAAAACAACTACAACAACCACTACAACTACAACAACTAAAACAACTACAACAACCACTACAACTACAACAACTACTACAACTACAACTACAACAACAACAACAACAACAACAACTACTACTACTACTACTACAACAACTACTACGATGACGACTACTACAACCAGCACTGCTTCGACTACTTCTCAACAAAGTAAGTAGTTAAGGAAAAGCTATGTATGATGGATTTAAATCATCATTTTATTGCGAGGACACTCATGTTGATCTTATGGTTTTAATTTCTATTGTGATTGAAAGACAGGAAGATTTCATGATAGCCTCCCTCAAAATCGAGTTACCATATATAAAAATATCATATTGAAAATATTGTATTTCATTGATTAGTAGAGTTAGCTGAGGCTATGAATCGAACTAAAATAAAATTTAAATTCCACAGTTACAAAAACATCATCTCTTCACTATCCATTTGCTCAATCATTTAAAATACAGAAAAAAATGAGTGCACTTATAGTCTACAGCCACATCTGTTGTATTATATGGGCTTGCATACTAAGACAATATATCATAATCTGTGGGCAACAAGTGTGCGACGAAAAACTGTATCTCAGATTCTGTCACATTCGCTTTAGACCTTGTATTTCAAAGCGATCTGAAGAATCGATTTTTATGCTTAGCGAAATGTTCAAAAAGCTATAAACAAATTTCTGTAAAGGAAGCTACCAAAACAATTGTATCTTTTGCAGGGTTTGAAACCTATCAGAGTGATATGAAATCACGCAAGTTGTATATGGTTGATATTGATGGTAAAAGTTTAAGTTTCAATTGTAAATAATAGTGCCAGTTTATCTCCATCGTTTATTAGCTGAAGCTGTACGAACCGATAATTCAAAAGAAAATATTCTTACAACGCTTTGCCAATCTGAGTACTTTGAATTATACTGCTAAAAACTGTTCAATTGAAAAATAAAAAATGAAAGAAACGAGAGAATGAAGAAAAAACCTTAACAAATTCATCAATCTTTCCGTTTTCTTTTTTCAAACGAGTAGATTAGCAATCTATAGAATCTATTTATATAGTCGTCCTTTTTCTTCTACTTACGTTAGTATTGCCGATAATACTATCAATTATTATTTCAATCATCTTTCGCATCTTAGTGAACCGGACAAGAAAATTGCAATACTAGCTGTCGATTGTGATTTCCTCTAAGGAAACATATATGACTGCTGCACTTTAGTTGCATTTTTATTATTTGATTTCGTTTCTCGATCGACTCTAGGACAATCGCCATCCTCTGTTTTTAAACCGACTACTTGTAATTACTCATCAGCTATAGGCACCAGCTGCAATATTTCTAATAGTTTATGTGCCTTGAAAAAACCTTGCCGAAATGATGGATCATGTATAACGAATCAGAACGATATCAATGATTATAATTGCGTTTGTTCACGTGGTTTCAATGGGACTCATTGTGAATTCGATCATCGACCTTGCAAACCACAAACTTGTCTGGGTCATGGTAATTACACATGTTCATCATCCATTATCAACCAAAGAATAGCTTTTATTTCGTTTTAGGAGAATGTCACGAAACACCTTATTTATCATTTTTCTGCTTGTGTCATGATGGTTGGACTGGAATTCACTGTCAATCAAGGATAGATAATTGCAACCATACCGCATGCGAAAATGATGGTGTCTGCCGGTCAATAGTATTGAATTATACATGTGAATGTCTTGGTGATAGTTATTCTGGTCGCCATTGTGAAATCACTTCGACGAAAACTACTATTTTGAAAATTGTTTCAAAATCATTTGCTTATGTTGCTATTATTGCTATGATAAGTGTCGCTATGTTTATAGTGATCATGGATATCTTGAAATATTGTTTTGGAATTGATTCAGCACGTGACGACTTGAAAAGAATTCAAGGAGAAAAACGAAAATCTCGTGCAGCACAACGGTTGGTTTATGTTGATGCACCACTACAACCGTTCACATAAGTGATTTCATCAATCAAATATATGACTGTAAAGAACAAATATAAATTAAATATTATAATTTTGTTTGTTTTATAACCGTTCGGCGTTTGATAAAATCATAGTATTCAAGACATGAGAGATTTCAATTTCGATCAATATGATAATATTTTCATCTTGATCGAATTTCAACACTCATACTTCAGACTGATCTGATCAGTTCATATAATATCAAATGCTCTATCGAGATATCAATTAGTCTAAAAGTTGCGTCGATCTCAATAATTAGATTTATCTCTCATTCGATAATCATCTTGTTGCTACAAGCATAGTTCTCGTATATTTCTAGTTGAAGCTTCCTTGTAAATGTAAGATGGTCTGTATATCATAGATCGTGTCGCTACATCATGTTGGCAAAAGCTAAAATTCCATAAATTACAATTAATTTTAATGGATCCAATACATTGTTGAAAACCTTTCACGAAACATTACAGAAATTCTCATTTTCCAAAGTTATTTCAATTAACCTTCCAAAGACTATTTTGTTAAAACATAAGAGCAAATAAAAAAATTGTCTTTTTCACGGAAATTGTTTGAAAAATAGGCTAAGCAAATTGAGATGGTCGCCAATAGTTCGTCAAATATTAAAGTTAATAATAAAAAGCTTGGGTAGCTTTTCAAATCCTCAGAAAAAATACCCACCATGACTCAATCATTTGAAAATAAATTTGGTTCTTTTTCAAATTTAATAAAGTTATCCATTTGAACTCTTTACAGAGAAAAAACATATTGTTTTAGACTAAGACACGATTAGTATTTATTCTAATTGAAGTTAAAATGAGCAGCAATTAAGGGCAAAATGCAAACTAATAGCAATTAATTTAACAAATGTAGAAATATTAAATTCAGTGTTATAATGAAACAACAATAGGTTATTTGCAAATCTATTCCACATCATTCTGACTTCGATTATGAACTATTTGTAATCATTTAGCAGCATTACTCTCGTTTAATAAAAAGCGTCTGAGCAAAAAAGTAATGCTTTAGTAAATGTTGAAACAAAAATATGCAATTTACATGATTATTTATGCTTTCCACAGAATATTAATATTTGTAACTAATATTTTGTTACATTTACTATACCAAAGGCACGTTCGATTAATATGGAGACTTTCAGCTTGTCACAATTTTTTCATTACAACCATAAGGGAGAACATTGAGAAAGAAACGTTTTCGGTTGTGTTACTGAGAAATTTTAATCTCTATAGCAAAACTGATGATGATCTCTCTTCGTTGATCAAAGAGATATCGAATCCTATATGAACTCAGTTGTTACATACTTCTCTTCAAATATTTATTCAAGAATGACTTTTCCTGTCGGATTTTCCAAACGGTTAAAATTATTTGATAATCATCAGTTACTCGACTAATGATTAAGCTTAATTTAAAACACTTCACTCGATTTGTAATACAAGACTAACTAAATTCGTCAGTAACGTAGAAAAACTCATATTTTGACTAGAATTTGAGTCGTACAGAATTTTCATATCTACTAAAATATTTCTAGTTATTACGCACAATTTACTGTGATCTTATAAAAACTTGCCTTTATCTATGGTCATAAAGAGAAAATTGAATTCAGTAAAAAAAGATTTTCTTTACTCTAAATTTACTATTGTCTACAGAAATACAAATAGAGAGTTTTTCATATATACCAGCGAGTTCCTACACGATATAGAATCTACAATTTCATGTTAACACCATCTTGTCAGGATCCGTAGTAGCCGGAGGAGATTCTAATTTATATCCGACAGTTTCGCAATTACTTTATATTGCATTGCACGAAATGAACCGAAAAGTTCTTGTCTATCGTTGTCTCAGTTTTTGAAGACTTACAAATGATTATCTATGGATAAATAAAGCAAAGACGACAACGTTTTATTATTTGTCAAGTACGAATTCAGAAACTATCAATCAGAGCATGAATGGTTTAAAGTGCACAAGCACGATAATAACTCACATATATTACTCAACGAAGGCGTGCTTAACATTGTAAATCACGTTTTTGAAAATTCATCGAAACATCATTTTTTTTACCAAAAAGGTTTTATTCCAGTTCATCACTAGAAAATTTTTATTTATTCATTGATCGTGCTTTTTGTGAATATTATGTAGGTGCAATTGTTTTAGGCTGCAAAACAAAATATTGTCATTGTTTGTCGAGTGAATAACGCGGTAGTATCAATCCAAAATGGCACATCTGGAAAACAGAGTATAAAATGATCCTATGGACATTTACGACGAAAGATATAGAGGAAGAAATAAATTATTTAAATTCAATGGCTGGTTTTCCTTCAAATAAATAAATTAAAGACGTTTTAAAGATGCAAACGATGGTATTGTGTTTTGTTCTTTAAACATTGTCAAACAATTTAATAGGGAAACAAAGAGATGTCCTTGAAATATATTTGGCTGATATCACTGCTGGTTGTTTTAATCGCCAATGGGGTGGAAAGTAAATACTCTTTGAAAATTTTTATTTTTGTTTTCGAGCATAACTTTGCCAGTCAGAAAATCACAATAGGCTTTAGTAATGTTGATAAGTTTCAATTCACATCATGATTTATTTTAGTTTAAAATGTATGCATCATTATGAATGAGACTAGTATATTGCGGTACGCAAGTATTAGTGATATAGTAGTCCTAGTAGATTTCTTAAATATTTGGAAAATATGAACAAAACACGAAGTCATCGGAGAGAGTACTTATGTTTAATGACTGATACTTTTACTGTAAAATATCTGAAGACTCTTACATAATAAAAGATGTGTTAATCTTTAAATCTACTAAGCGTGAGATTAAATTGTATATTTTATGCTCAACTAAAGTCGAGATTCAATGATGCATTGAATACATTTGGATGAATAAGGCTTCATTAGTGAATTCGAAAACATGATGCAGACGCTAGAGTATACCACTTTAGAAAAGCTTCTCGAATCCATCATTGAGTTATTTGTTGATGTTTCTGTCAAAATCTTGGTTTTTCGAAGGAAACTGAGTAATACACAGAAAAGCATAGAGCTCACGGCTGCTTTTCCTTTTTAATATTTCATTCGATGAGATTTGAAGTCAGTCCATTATTCTTTATTGACTAAATGAATGAAGTATTTCTGTTTAGCATATTTTTGTTAGTCATATCAATATTTTTTAAATTTTTTTTGTCATTTTAGCTAAATGTTATGGGGGTTGTAAAAATGGTGGAACTTATAATCGTTGGAATCTTTGTGAGTGTCCGGGAGGTTACACTGGTCTGTTATGTGAAACAGGAATGTGGGAAAATTCTTTAAACTTTATCTTTTGTTCAGATAGAGAATAATTTCATTTTGCGGATTAGCTTATTATGAAGTCACTTTTTATATCTTATGATCACAATGAAGCAGAAGTCCGCTTTCCTATTTTTATCAAAATTGTGAATGTTTCCTGCGTGTTTGTCTTACTGCAAAATATTTATTTAGTCTTTCATTTGAATTCATATATACTCATATGATGTAATCGCTCTCAGAAGTCCTAATAGGATCCTCTTGGATCCAGTTCATAAACCATAGAATACTGTCGAATGTATCAAAACTGTCATGATAGTGTTCAAAAAACGAGAACTTGCAAGAAAAAGATTCAATGAACAATGCATTTATATGTTCAAAAGCATTGCTTCTAGTGGAGAGTTATTTTAATGAAATACACTACAAATAGACTGACCAGTTATCTCAATGGAAAATAAGGAACCGTTTCTGTCACTCATCTGCAAGCTTGATCATCATTTTGGAAAAATAAGAATTTCTTTTAGCTAAAAACTCGTTAATAGCTACTTTACAACCCGTACTAATATTAATGTATCCACATATTAACCAATAATACAACAGTCAATTGCATCCCTGTTGATTTGATTAACAGCACTGTCAGCACACTTCAGCCTTCATCGTGATGCTTTTCTATGTCGAAAATCATGATTGATTTGAAAATTTCCCGGATAAGCGAAATGATGAACAAAATTCCTTTTCTTTTGAACCATGCTCGAAAAATAGTTATCAGGTAACATCAAAACACATTGCGATGAAGAAAAAATGTAAACATACGGAGTAGATTAAAAAGCTGAGAAAAAATCTTCTATTAGTTCATAAGGAAATAGTAATATTTACTTCTTCTGTTGTAGGATCGGTTACACATCATTTAGGTTTTGATAAAGAACCATTATTAAACGATTAAAAATGATATTGATTTATTAAGAAGAGAAGAAAGAAACGAAAAGATTCATAATCGTAAAATAGAATGTGAACACGTTTTAGTTAGCTAATGTTCAAACAAAAATTCGACGTGTGCATAATCATATACATCAATAAAATGTTGGTTTTTGCGACGAATGCTTGGCTTTCTTCGATTTTAGTAACATTGTCCAGAAACACATGCGATTGACTTTCCCAATTTCAGACAATCCTTTCTCCTAGATCAACATGTTCTTGAGAAATCTATAATATACAATTAAAAAAAAACATCAAATAGATACTTAAATGTTTCTGTTAACGAAATTGTTTAATATTAATTACATTTCTTAGTGTCAGGAAGAGCAAGTCGCTATACCAGAGTTTCGAAAGCAAACTATTAGTTTTCTTGGAGACTAAACTGCTCTACTACTGAATTTCGTCATAAGACAAGATCCTGTAATGAATTCGATCCATTGGTCTCAATGGACTGGGCCGAACCCAGGCCAGCCCACTCACGAACCAAAACATTTTTTAAATGTAAAATCATGCTTGGGTTCGGTCTGACTTAAAAATTCTGTATCTTCTCATTTGCGAACATAAAATCGAAAATCAAAATGTTTTAAATTAAATTTAAATTTTTTTCTTAGTTTGAAACTTCAATTCGAAAAATATATTAAGCCTCAAACTTTCGTTTTTGAAAAATTAAATCGAAGATTTTAAATTTTCATTTTTTGTTTATTAAACACTAATTTAGAGCAATTTTAA